GTCTGCGGGCAGGTGGGCGGGAGCTGCGGCCGGTCTTCACATGTAAAATGTAATTACATGTGCAGCTACCCCGAAGGTAAGATCTAGCGCTATCAGGGATTTCTGTAATATAAGACCTACCACTGAACTAGGTCTTATTTTCGGGGTAGGTCTTACTTTCGGGGAAACACTGTACTCGCTTCAGGGGACATCCATTGCATTTCCCGAGGAGGAGCGCTTTTTGACATTTTATTCCAATCTTTGGACGATTCCCAAGCCGAATGGTGGGGTTTGCTCTATCTTGGACCTGAAGGTCCTCAATTAGAGCCTGAGGGTTCTGAAGTTTAACATGGAGTCGGTAGACAGTCAAGCATGCCTACCTTCATGTTCCTATTTTCCCTCCTCAGCAGCGATTTCTTTGCTTTGTCCTGGGCAGAGACCTTTTTTAGTTGGTGGCCCTGCCCTTTGGTCTTTGCGCGGCTCCCAGGGTCTTTACCAAGATCCTAGCTCCACTTACCTCTCTTACTATCTCGGGGAGTTCACTTTTTGGGTTGGACGACCTTCTCCTAAAGGCTCTGCCTGCTCTGGCATTGCAGCACGAGGTCTGTCACATGCTGGAATGCTTTTGCTGGGTTCTGAATTTTCAGAAGTCTTCGTTGGAGCAAACTCACAGACTGGACTATCTGGGTCTGCTTCTGGATGCAGTCCAGGGCAAGGAGTTTCTTTCTCCATCAGAAAAGTTACGGAACCTCCGGTCTCAGGCAAGGAATCTGAGGTCCAGGAAATATCCCTCGGTGAGCTTCACCATAAGGGTCTATGGTCTGATGGAAGCCTCCTTAGAGGTGGTTCCTTGTACTTCGTTTCACTCCAGGCCATTACAACTGAGCATTCTGCGTGAGACAGACTCAGTCTTTGGACTGTCCTGCTTGTCTATAAGGATATCGCTCTCTCGCTGTTGGATCACATTTCCTGGGACAATGGGAAGCTTTACCGGCAGCCAACACACACGGCAGGTGAAGAGGCAGCCCTGACGGGGAGGCAGCTCATTGTGCCCAAACAGTTTAGGGGACACGTATTGAAAGTGGCTCATGAAATTCCCCTAGCCGGACACTTAGGGTCACTAAGACCAAGGATCGAATGAAACAGGTTGGCAAGGCAGGAGATGTGCACAAGGCCCCACTACATTCCTTCTGATGCCACCACACAGGGGGGAGGTGTGACGATAAGGGGCTCTGAGTCTAAATGTTCAAAAATAGAATTCTTTTGTCCCCCAGTCAGAGCACATACAGGTCAACTCACGCAGCTGGGCGGATCTCGACATCGATGTCGGGATCCGTCCCGGCTGTGGCGTCTCAGTATACCGCGAGCTGTAGCTCCCTATATACTGAGCCTAGGGTGACGGGAGGACGCTAGTTTTGTGTCCTCCCGTTACCCTGAGGAGAACTATGGGGAAAAGCCCTAACCCCATAGTTCTCCTTTAAGCCATTTGCCAGGTCCCTCCACATTCCACAGAACAGAGATCTGCTATCTGGCCTGTGATCTTTTATTGCCCCAGCCCTAGTGGAAGTCCAAAATATCTCTCTGAGCCTTTTATAGCTGTTCCTAATTAAAGGCATGGCACCAGGCATTCAGCTATCACCAGTGGACGAGTTAATATAAACAAGCAGGTCTGGTAGAGGAGGTGACCCCACATTCACCCAAAAGTCATACACCTGAGTTACAAAATCAGCTCCATTTCATCATTTGGAATTGGGCGGGGAGAGTGTAAAATAAAGGTTCATCCTCCTCCTGCTTTCCAACCCCAGCCCTGCCCTAGGGGCCGGCTCCTAAAGGTCTGACAAAAAGATGCTCAACTAGCTAGAGATGGCTCTCGTGGCATTGTTTAATGGTTTTTGATTCTCATAGCACTCGCCGGGCACGGTCTGTGTTTCTGTTAAAAAACACACGTTGGCAGCAAACGTTTGGTGGGTAAAGGGTTAACTGCGGAGTTAGCCAACCCCTGGTGACGATCGCTCTCAGTCTGCTGGGCTGAGATTGGGTCCCGCGAGCTGGGAAATCTCTGCGCAGGGTGAGGCTGAGAGTGCTATCGCCACGTCCTTGTGACGCTCACGCTTAGTTCAGACTTGTGTATGGTCACGTGGGATTGACGTACAGTAGGTCTGGGTCGGGCGTACGTCACAGAAGGAACCCAGCATCTTTCTTCCGGACCAAAGCCCTTTAAAGGAGAACTATGGGGTCAGGGCTTTTCCCCATAGTTCTCCTTAGGGTAACGGGAGGACACAAACTAGCGTCGTCCCATCACCCTCAGCTCAGTATATAGGGTAGGGTTGCCACCTGTCCAGGATTCACCCGGACAGTTCGGGTTTTGAATGCTGTGTCCAGGTTTCATGGCAGCAGAAACCTGGACACAAGATGTCAGGCAGACAGAGGCAACCAAAATGAAGATAGGGGCTACTGGCCCCCCACTGAAAATAGTTTAAACTGTGATATTTACATATGAATGGGCGGCAATTTTTATATATGAATAAGCCACGACTCATTCTCCCAAAAAAATGTCCACGCGTCGATTCAGTGTTCGGGTTTCACTTGAAGAAAAGGTGGCAACCCTAATATAGGGAGCTACAGCTGAGACGCCGCAGCTGAAACAGACTCCGACAATTGTGCCGGGATCCACCCAGCTGCGTGAGTGACAGCGGGCTCCGCCTATCTAGAGGCTGTACCCGCCCCCTCCCCTGCCAGTCAGCACTGGAGGATCGGAGCGGGGAGGGGGGAATCCAGCCCCTCCCCTGTCACGGCAGAGAGCCGTGACAGGATCGAGAGGTGAGCGAGCGCCGGTATGTGTTCTCACACCTCCCGATCTACTGGGCCGACCTGTGACAGTCTCATTGTCACAGGTCGGCTAGAACTATGAGGTGAGTGAAAAGCCCCTCCCCCTCATAGTTCTCCTTTAACTCAAAAAGAAGTCTACCCCGGGATTTTCTATGAATTTAAGATTTGCTTCTTATTGGTCCGTGGTATTGTCCATTAGGGAAGGACGGAGATGGGAATGACAAAACCTATTAATGACAAGTGGTCTCAGAAGGGAAACCTCGGCCAGGAGTAGTTGAAGGACGATGAAATTATATATATACGATCAGCCTGGCTGGATTTGTAGTGGCAATTATCTGGTTGATTCCAGGTGTCTGGCATTGCCTGTACCCCCCCTGGGCGGAGTGTGACTGTCATATTGCGGGACAGCCAATGAGAGACATTGTAGTTTATATACACTACAGCATCCAATCGCTGGGTTTCTCTCAGCCAGTGGTGCATGCTGGGATAGGGTACATATAATGGAGGGATTTGCCATGTGCTCAGACCAGCCGAGACCAGCCATGGAATAGGGCTTGGTGCTGTTCAGCCTGCCCCCCAGGCTATAGGCCTGAGGCCTGTGGGTGGGCATGGTCTGGTGTGAGGGAAAGGTTTCCCTGAGGCTTCCAACATGGAAGTACCTGTAAAGCTGATAGAGGAAGAGACCCAGGACCAATGCTGGCTCTTGAAACAGTCGGCTCCGCCCATTTTCTGAATTTACTGATGCGGGTGAGGATGGTAGGGGCAGATGTAGAGTGAGAGGATTTGTCTCAGGACTTGATACAAGCCAGGGGCTAGGTCCCATTCCTTTTACACACAAGCAGTCCATCAGCGTCATCCTTAAAGAGGAGAAAAGAAGTTATCGGAGATTCCGAGGAAATCATTTTTCAGACTTTGATGAATGAAGACATTATTGGCAGAACTATGGAGCCCTGAAAATGTCTACTGACCCCCGGACATGGTTCCTCCCGGAAAATCCTCCCTCCTTCCCTGCCTAGCATCACTTTACTATAGCAGGTGTGGAAGGCCGAGTGACAACATCATTTGTTGGTAGCAGTTGATACATCAAATACAATATTGTGTATTGGAGAGCTCAGTGAAATGTTGTGTTTCATATACAGGTGGAGTATGAGGGGCTCGGCCAAAACATTAAACCCGCATCTCTCGGGTACTTCAGGGGCAAGACGTTCTTATCATTAGTTTTAATATAGTTCCCTTCAACCCCGAATAGGGATAAAACACCTGTAAACAAGAATGGCTCAAAATCAATTAAGTTGTTGACACACATATATTATTATTGACCACCTGACCACCTGATATAGATCATTATGACCACCTGATGGGCTCGGGCGTGTTCGCAGCTCCATGCGCCGAGCCCGCCAGGAAGCTGACAGCGCCAATCACAGGCACTGAGACATTTCCCGATCTCTGTAAGTGCGGACCGGGAAAATGTCTCAGTGCCTGTGATTGGTCAGCTTCCTGGCGGGCTCGGCACGTGGAGCTGCGAACACGCCCACCACGCCCATCACTACTTCCTGCCACACACATAGTATTATGAACCAGGTTAGACCTTTGCTTCAACACTTCATTGGTGGGCTGTTAAGGATCGGTTGCATGGGTTTAAATCTGTGGCTTCATACTTCCCCTCACATTCATCGGTTACATTCATAGTTACATAGTTACATAGTATTTGGGGTTGAATAAAGAAAGTGCGGACCGGGAAAATGTCTCAGTGCCTGTGATTGGTCAGCTTCCTGGCGGGCTCGGCACGTGGAGCTGCGAACACGCCCACCACGCCCATCACTACTTCCTGCCACACACATAGTATTATGAACCAGGTTAGACCTTTGCTTCAACACTTCATTGGTGGGCTGTTAAGGATCGGTTGCATGGGTTTAAATCTGTGGCTTCATACTTCCCCTCACATTCATCGGTTACATTCATAGTTACATAGTTACATAGTATTTGGGGTTGAATAAAGACATACGTCCATCAAGTCCAACCCATATCATTCAGCTCCTTCAATGACTGCTTCATTGAAACAATTAGAGCAGTCCTCAAGGCACTGGTACATAGTCTGATTATTAATGTTAAAACAGCCATTTAGGATGACCTGGATGTCCCCAGGGTCCTGATAATAATCAGTCACCCCCATTGGGGTCTGTTCTATGACTACTCCTATCCCCGATCCTGATATCCCCAGCACTAATAACCCATCCTCCCGCACTAGCTTCCAAGGCTTCTTGGCTAAAGTACTATTTGCTGTCTCCTTTGTTAGTAGTGCAAAACAGATCAGGATCTGTTACTGCTAAAGCTATTATTGTCTTGTGCCGCACACGAGGAGGAACCATAGTACACACCCAAACCCTATAGTCCCCCTGTAGCTGTCACTTGCCAACGGATACAGGAGGATGAAACACAAAGGAACAGAACGGGGCTCACGAACCGCCTCGTGTGATTGAAAGCTCTGAAACATTTTACCGATCTCATTTCTAGAACTCGTTTAATCGAAATGGTTTTGTCCATTATGAATGGTGATAAGAGAATCCACAGCCATATAATCATTTACAATATGCTTTATTGAGTATTAGAAGTGCGTTGAGTGATATTTAGTTGGAGGCAACAGTCTCTCCTCCCAGGATCTGAGGGCGGTGACGCGGGCGTAGACTCTGGGAGAGGAAGTGCTGCAGGTAGAGCTGCCCCAGGACACAATACCGGCCCGGGTCCAGGTTACGTTCCTCCGGCACACAAGGGGTCCACCAGAGTCACCCTGAAAAGGAGAAAAAACAGAAGTTATAGGAGAGTTCTCGAGTCGTCTTTCATCATTTTATATGTTAATGAATGTACATGTGACATTAGAACATAAGAAGATGACCCCCCTCCATAGGGATGTCCTCCTCGGGAATCAGTCACACACACTTAGTAACAATGTATCAGAGTTGATGAAATAACAATACAAACACACAAGTTATAGGGGGACTTGAGCTGTGACAGGGGCTCTTTTTCCCTGCAGAAAGCAAACTGTGTGAGCCGACCCACCTAAAGCGTTCTAGCTCCGGAACAAATACAGCACCACCCATAAGGAGAGCCCTTCCCCACTATAAATATTCAATAGGGATGTGTTGAAAATCCATACACGTGAACTGTACAAATATACAAAACTCTGTCTATCAACCACATTTAT